CCCTAACGTTCTGTGATTCTGTGATTCCTTGTGTCATGCACCTATTCAGAGCTGAACATTAGGTGTCTCTGTTCTTTAAAAAATGGGAGCACAGAGACTTACCTGCCCACTCAAGAGCTTGTCTGCCATCATCTGCACGTGGTAAGCGTGGGCAGGACTCAGAATGCTGAGCTCCTTGTCCATTAAGGGGGCCTGGACCCTTCACTGCCAGCTGAGCCAGGAAGAGACAAACAAGGCCTCAGTGGTGACGGCTGCCCTGACGCTGCTGTCTTGGCTCCCTGGACCGAGGTATTGCACCTTACCCGCATGATAAAAATGATGATCTAAAAAATTAGGATCTGGATGTATCATATCTCCTCCAGAGCCAAAGACCAGGACCTGCTTTACCTTTTTTACTACCAGTACAAAGGTATCCCTGTGTTGTATGGCATGCAGTGGGCAGCCTTGGCCAGATACAGAAGACAGTGGCTGATTTCACTAACGCTTTGGTTCAAGGCTGTACCCAAGCTAAACTAGTCTTACTGAGAGGCCAGGTGACTGATGGTGCTAGGGTACCCAGAGCACTTCCAGGACTGCAATTGTGTCTCCTCTGCTACACTTCAGGTTGACATGCCATACGCAAAATGTGCAGGCATGCTGTAACCTATAAATCACTGATGAAAGTTTCAATTTAGTGACAGGATAAATTGAAGATTTAAATGGGAACTGGACCAGACCCCTAGAGCCCTCACTCTACCAATTATGAGATTACTGTAAGGTAAAAGGGCACTGCTACAGTTCATGTGATTTAATTCTCTTAACACCTCCACATTCATGTTACCATCTAACTGCTGATGATCATGCTTGTTTTTCTGAACAAGGATCTTTTGAGCAAAAATAAGAGCAGATAAAGTACACACACCACAGTAAAACCTCTGAAATCATTCTCCCATTTCGTCTCTGAGGGAGCGGATCCAAGAGTCCTGCTGTTCTGCATTTATTCAATGCTAGCAAAACAGTCTTGCACAGAACTTGCCAGCTGGAGGTCATGGCACTTCTGTAAGAGGCCAACAGCCCCCACTGTCACTACAGAGCAGTCTTTCTGGAGCAACGTCTGAAGCCATTCCAGAGACAGCATAATAAAATTTACAGTGGATTTGTAACCTCAGGAACAATAATTTATTGGAAGTCACAGATAAAACTACGAGTACTAACCAATTAAGTACAAACATTAGCAACACTAACTTGGATGGGGTGTAATCAACTAATATAAAATGGGTGTGACAAGAACATGGACAAGCAGATCAGAGCACTGGATAAGCTGCTTAGTAGCACCACTTCTCTGCAAGTTACACAGGGCAGTGTTTTCTGATTTAAAACTGACCAGATGCCATTACGTTCAACATAACATTAAAATCATGAACTGGTATCATGAGCTACAGTTCTACTGGGCCAAGTTCTGCCTCATTTATATAGAATTCATTAATGCAATCACGAGCAGAACCTGTCCATCTTTTTAAAATTAAAAAATTAATTTAGAGGCTAAGGCCTGATCTTAATTTGATAGAAGATGCTTGTATTAGATAGGCTCAAGCCTGTATTGGCTACATGATCCAAAGTATCTAACCTGCAGAAAAATGATTAATGTACATGCAGGAATTTAAACCAGTACTGCTTGGTAGTCTTTAGAAGTCTCTTCAGAAATCCATTTTCAACTTCAGTGTTCGCTGCCTTTTAGCTCCAAGAACTTTACACATGCCAAAGCAGTGTCTTCAATGGATTTTGATGAACCAGTAAGATTTGTAGCTAAGTAAGGCATAACACCTGATGTCACTTGATTGAAGTAACACACCTGCTTAAAGAAAAATAAATTAAATGAAGCCTATGGATTGCAATAGTTGGCCATTTTTTTGCAGAGACTAGATGAGTATCAAAGTTTTTATGGATGCAAACAGAAACACATAGTGCTTCTGATACTAAAGGCAGTAATTAGCAAAAAGAGCAGGCATTTTTTACAGTACTTCAGCGATCTCAGTGTCCTCACTACTGCCAGGTCCTCAAAACATCTGTAGGTAAATGTACACATTAAGAAACATTATGTGTAACCTGTTAAATATATGTACTTTATGAACAAAGCTGTTGCCTGGAAAAAAGAATCCCAGCCACCAAGAGTTGCTGAATGTTTTCAGAAATGCATGTTATTAAATGAAAAAGTTATACCCTTAAAAATGGAAAAGATCGCTGTATTGGTGGCACTCCCAGAGACTGGACACCCTCCCCACTGGCAGGACAAACGCTGGAACAAGGACCGGTGACCTTTCTGTCTTCCTCTCTTTTCCACTCTCTCTTCCACTCTCTCTCCTTACCTTTAAATAACACAAGGCCCATACTTTCGGTTGTTGTCAGCTAATATGAGAAACTGCTGTCGTTTGTTGCTGTTGTTACCTACCACTAATCGTTGTCAGCTATTAAGCCAGTTACGGTGGGAAAGGCTACTGCTGTGTTTGTCTGTCACTAATTTGTTATTGGTTGTTGAACCAACTGTAAGCAAAACTGCAAAAGGTAGTATTGGTGACTGAAACTGTTCATTAAGCACTTTGATTAGGAACCTTGAGATTTGTCTCGCTGTTGTTCAACCTGTTTGGGATTTGTGGATCTGAGTCACTTGTCCCCTTCCTTAAAAGCAGGATGTGACATCAGATTGGCAAAAGTTGGACAAGACTGATTCCACTTTGTGGAATAAAGAATGTCTTAATAACCACACTGAACTCTAGGGAAACCAATTCATTTTTTTGTTGTATTACTGTCACTGTTCTAGACTGTCAGCTCAAATGAGATTATAAGCACATGTCATACTACAGGAAAGGAGACACAGCTGAGGTCTGCAGGACTACTCACTGTACAGGAGCTGTTGCTGTCACTGTAGATCTGGAAGCCGGCACAAAGAATCTCACTTCTGCAGTACTCTGAAGAAGGTGGCACAGATGTGAGGGTAACTGACTTGACAGCTACTATGTAGGGTTCACTGCAGGGCAAGGGGAAGAATCAAACATTTATTCAACAAGATGTTAAGAAAGATACATGTAAGTGACTACAGAGTATGCACAGCTATACCAAAGATGTCATTTTTATATGAAGGCAAACAAGCTTCTGTATATTTAAAGATATATGTTAAAAGATTCAGCTCTCTTAAGTCTCATTACGTCTTTGACACAGACTTCAATCAAGAAAATTTCTGTGGAAAGCCACGGAACAATCTCCCATATACAGCACCCCATTTTTAAAATCTATCCTGCTCCCCATGACCCACATTTACAGAATCAGGGCCTAGGAGCAACCCTTAGTAAAAGGCTTTACAGTATGGCTCCAGCAAAGGTAGACATGATTCAGTTTCCAGATGTGGGGGAAAAAAGCATGCACAGTACAGGATACTGCTTTTTAGAAGCAATGTTCTGTTAACATGAAGAATTACTGAGGAAAAGAAATTTAGAATAAAGAACAATAAGATACACCAAATGGTGCCATTTATCCATGTTCCATTATGCAAGAACAAAAGGAAACCTAATAAAAAAAAAATCAAAGTCTCAAACTGATCAAGGGATTTTTTAAACCAAATTCAGCAACAAAATTTACAGATAAATAAATGTGTCACAGTGGGGTTTCAAGAAAAGCCAAACACTTCCTTGAATAAGAAAATCTCCAGAATTACATTAAATGGGATTACAAAGTCACCTAAAACAAACATGCAGACAAACTCCCAGTTATGTGCTTCAGCAAGTTGTCAGGCCCTCTGGGACATGTTTTTTCCAAATTGCTTGTTTCGAATTCTGGCCTGTTTTCCCTGATGATAAACCACTCCTGAAGAGTTACTCTTAAAGTAGCAACAGCAGACTACACTACAAATGTGTTATGCTCTGAATTTTCTCCACTGCACCTTCATGTTGCAAAACAAATCTGGTTGTGCAAATGGAGGCACCAACATACTGAATTTGAAAACAGCTACTAATCCAGTTTCTTTAAAAAAAAAAATAAAAATCTTTGTCATACAACCACAGGCCCAAATGAAGGCCAATGGTAACCAAAACTGGTGCACCAAAGCACTCACAGTTAAACTTTAAATTGCATACTCACCTTGACTTAGAGGGTTGTCTTTGAGATACAAGAATCACAAAGTCTCTGGGTTTATGGCCTGTCATGGGTGGAGACGTAATGTAATAAATTTTCTCATCATCATTCACAGCCTGTAGGACCTTACAAGTTCTGCAAATACATTCAGCACACACATGCAGACCCAGATGTATGCAATAGCATCTCTTACAAATAAACATAGTACAAACATATATTCCATCCTAACGTTAAGACTACTGTTTTCATGTTCAGGCAGCAAGGAAGAGAGAGGAACACAGGGTGAAAAATGGAGGTTTTCTTAAACACCTCATCTGAAACCACCTTTCTGTCCCACAGAATGGCTAAAAAGTGCTGCAAGGTGCTGGAGCAATGTCTTGAAAGCATTTATTTTGCATACTGTCAATTCCTATTTGGAATGACATTAGCTTGCAAGCCATAATCCTTGCTGAATGACCAAACGTCCCTCTGACACACCACAGGATGACAGTCAGGAAAAAGCTGTAAAATTTTATTCAAAGTTGTGTTCTACTCCATTCAGATGAGGCCCCCTGGGTAGGGCACACTCTTACACTGTCTTGGAAGTACTGATCACCATCTCTGAGGTTTCACTAAAAAAAAGTCAGAATTTTCCTATACACTGGCAGAAACTGATTTATTTAATTTCAGCTTCTACTGCCTCAGCAATAGGCACTGCTAAGCTGGTATTCCACTTTGACCAGTCAGTCAGGCTTCATGGTAGAAAGCTGAAATCAACATAATGTTCTTCAGATTTCATTTGTTACAAGTCAGAAATTCACCAGAGCTTGTCAATTCTCAAATATCCCTAAGCTTCCACTTTCACCCTCTGATAAAAATCTTTCAGCACAGAATGACTAACTGAAAAAAGCTTCTCCTTTAAGAGAATATTCACCAAATTAGTATCATATCAACCCAACTGTCTGTAGTCATTATTCTACACCATATAAGGTAAAGAACGCCATTTCTTGATTTCTCACATTGACTGTACGATGAAGCTGAGCACTAGTGTCCCAAACAGCACAGACATGAAAGAGTCCGCAGCTTTGCTTCACTTCTTACAGAGAGCACACACAGTATATCCACCTCAACTTATATACAACTTACTGAAGTTAAACCTTTTAACACACATGTCTAGGCATGGAATTGTGCTCATTTTAGAAAAGGGTAACCTCTGTCCCAGCTCTTTCTTTTGACAATCCAGGGTAACTGTATTTTAAAATCAGACTAAGGAGAAGTTAGATTTTATTTTTAAGGTAATAAACCCCAATCCGTACTTTGACTAATGACTCTTTAATGTCAACTTCTTACAACAATTTTTTTCTTAATTAGGTAGAAAAATGTCAACATCTCAAAAAATATTTGTATTAGAAAAGGTTAGTTGTCAGTGGATTTGAACAGTCTTAAAGAAAGGTAAGTTCTTACAAGAAATGTTTGTCCCATTGTTGGCGGAATGTGAAGTCAGACAAAAGGGAGAAAGCGAAATGTGATGGTATCTTCACTTGCATTTCAACCTTGAATGACAACACATCACCCTCCTCATGAGTCCATATTTTTATCTGAAAAAGTGAACAACACATTAAAACAAAGAATGTCTGCTATAAATATTTTAACACTTATAAATGTTACACATTCAAGACTTAAGCAGATTTTCTCAGGAGTACCTGTGAAACTGTATCTGACAGGCATATGAGCATTCAATATTACTTTTACATTAAAATACAGCACAATGTAAAATCAAATACACTGATAGCATAGAGACGTCACACAGTGCTAATTATATCTGGTTAGGAATAGCTGAATTAGCTTGCAAGTGGAACTGAATGAGCTAAAGGCCAGTGTGAGAGTCTTGAAAGAGTTAATGTATGTCTCAAACATTATGGCAAGACAGATTCTCCATACCAAAAGACAGGTTCAGATAAGTGGGCAAAGCAGAAGGGATCTTCCTGTTGAGGATGTCATGAGGATCATCATGTCCTTCATCATCACGGGATCCAAGCATGGTGGTATCTTTTCTTCTCTCTTTCCTTTTCTGTCTCTCTTTTCTCTTCTTTTTCTTCTTAAAAAGGTTTCCAATAAGAACTCAAATTGCCAAAGTGTTGCGTTTTCCAAGCTCAAGTTGTTTAACTGTTCCAGATTCAAGTAGTTTATACACAAAATTTTTAATTGACTGTTTGGTGTCATTCCCTCTTAATTCAGCCCAAGGGGATTTGCAGAATCTTAGTGCTCTCCTCCTGCCTCTGAGGTGGGACAGGACAGCCAGTCTGACCTCTTTCTCACACTATGCATATATAGTCTCTAAATGCCCTTCACACTATAGATGCATTGGAAAAAAACAAGTTATTTCAGTGTGTTCAGCTATTTCAAAACATAGTTTTGCTTCTTTTGTTCCACACTTGCAGTATCTTGGATTATTTTGGGCCTGTTTCTAGTTTCAGGTGTAAACACTAACACAGAAAATTCAAACAATGTACACACAATCCTTGCAAAAGAAGGGCTTGGCATGTTTCATAAACACTATGTAATGGAAGTGAGTGAGAGTACTTAGAATTGGTGGACTTTATGCCAAATTTTATTCTAATGTGCCAAACAGTTTCTCAAATCCTAGAAAGTTTTAACAGTTTTTCACTTCTAAGTGATACATAATTCGTAAGTTTCAATTTCTTTGCTGTCCTTTTTTTTGCTATATGAAAAATTAACAATGTTTTGTTTAATGGAGCATTTGTGCAACAACACAGATTTTGTATGTTTTCATATTTTCATGTTTTGGAATAGGAAAAAAACCCCAACATAATCCAGCAAGCATCTTTCTGAAGTAAAGTCTGGTGTAAAACAAAAGGCCTAAGAGCTTTAGAAATCAGCTACAGGATGCATGGATCAATACTGCTCTAAGGCACAGAAGAGACATCATGTTGTCTTACGAGTCTTTCTAGGCTTGAAAATCAGAAAACAAAGTAGGAGGTGCAGCTGTTAAAATGTCTCTCTGCTAAGCGAACATTGGCAAGGCTAGATTATTTCTACAGGTTTACAAGTCTTGTAGCTCTATGTCAAAGTGCTCACAGTGCCACTTTCTACCTTCAAAAACTGTCAATCAACTTGGGGTCATTCTAATTCCAGTGAAAAGGGAACAAATGCTCTGCATACAGAGAAGCACATGATGCTTTGCAAAACCTACCTACTACAATATTTCATCCCGAAATACAGTTCAGTTTAATGTCTTTGACAGTCTCCTTTCCTACAGTATGACTGCCTTCAGGCAGAGCACTGATCAGCACTACTACCTAATTCCCACTATTAGTTTCATCTTCTCCCCAGGAAACCATTTCAGGGGTACTGAAGAGATCTGTTTGACTAGAGATCCTGCTACGCGTGTCTATCAGAGGCAGACGAGTAGTTCTGTGTCTACACCACTGTATACTCCAAGTACAAACATCAAGACATGGTGCATGAGCGCAGAGAACATAAGACCACTATGATGCATGTGTGCTGGCCTGCAGTGCTTAAGGAAAGATGATGGAATGTTCTGAGCTAGTTTATTAAAGGATACTCCTTCATGCTCACATTTGCATAAGTGACAGAAATGAGCATGAATGAGTGATAAGTGAACCAAACTAACATTTGCCAAGACAGCAAGTTTCATTAACTGGAGACAGCAGAAAGCCTTCCTTGGAACCACATCTATACAAGCATTTAGGGATTCAAACATACATCTAAATTTGACTGGAGGAGCTGTAAAGTCCATTATAGGTATCGCTCTCACTTTCTTCACCAATTCTAATCCATCTAGTCCATTAATTCAGAAGTAAGCATACAGCCATATATGGTGACAAGTCTGCTCTGCCCATTGCTGACATCCACACTTAGGCAGCAGTCTATCTTGTGCCTACAAGTAAATGCTAAGTAAGAAAGAAGACTTACTAATGGGATAAATTGTACACAACAATTGAAGCAGCCTACAATCATAAGTATCGTTTGCTTTCACTGTTCACAACATACATCCTTCCAGGCAAAAAGCTAGTGTGCTGCCCTGGATCCCTGCCACTTCTTTAAGGAATATCTAATGACTGACAATACCAGATTATGCAGAAATGTCCAGAACAATGGGAATGAATGGCTACTCTCCACCCACTGACAGCATCAGTGTGATCTGCATCCTGCCTGTGCCAGATTTTGCTGGATTTAAGATGCCTACTTCAATTAGATGAAAAAAACCACAGCTAGAAAAAGCTACTCAAGATTTTCCACCAGGTAAGGCCTAAGTGGCTCAGAGGCAGATCTTACTATCAAGACTATTTTAAGACATCCAAAAAGGAAAGGTCCAGACTCCAGTAATACTGGAAGGTACCTGGTGGGTTGTTGAGAGAGAGAAGTATCATCATGCTGGTTTAAAATGTCATTCAGAATGTGCATGGGGTTTCCTTTTTTTTGCATGAAATAATTTCTTCACAACATTTGGTGCTTGTTCTATTACAGATTTCAAGCTTTTACGGTTAAGAAAGAAACTGAGACTGAGGCAGTGAGTCTCAGTGGCTGCAGAAAGGAAGTTGCACGTGGGTAATAATACAGACTTAGCAGAGGCTTGAAAATTATGTTCAATATTTCAGTTTAATTGTTCAAGCTTGCTTTTTCCAGCATGAGTGCTGTCTGTCATTTATTTGGCACAACGGTGTTTACTGAAAGTTACTAAACACTGGAACAACCTACGCATGGAATTGGTAGATTTGCTGTCACTGGAATTCCTTATGATTTACATATTTTCTTACCCAAGTAGCTTATTGACTAGATGCAAGAATCAGTAAGTGAATTTTCATAGCCTGTGACATGCAGGTCAGACTAAGTGATTGTTAACAGTATTTTCTTCTCCCAGAAGGTCTCTCAGTCTACATGATCTTAAAGTAGTCTGCTAGCCACTAACTATCCTTCAGAAACCAAACTTTAACAAATATTTCCCAATATTTTGGGAAACATGCACTGCAGCTAGGTTAAAACTTGAGTTTTCCCTGTTAATTATCTTGCTACCGGTTTCCTTAACAGCATCTTCCTATCTTAAAACTGGCTTATACAAGATTCCTTACTGATTTTGAGCTTGTAACACCCATCAATGATCAGAGAGGTGCTTTGCTTTCAGGCTTTTTTACTTTTTTAATAGAAAAAAGGCAGAAAGAAAAATATCTGAAAGGAAAAAGTGCACAGAAAAAGAGTCAAGTGGCCTTCTGAGACAGAAAAATATGGTATTAACACACAAAAATCCATAGGGCCAGATGGAA